GGAGGAGGAGGAGGGGAAGGGGCGGCCGCCCTTGCCGCCGAGGAAGAGCGGGCCAGGAACGAGGAGGTGAGGCGAAGGGAAAGGGTCGAGGGTCACTGGGTGGGTCGCTGGGTGGGCCTCGAAGCCCTCCTTGGGAGATCTGGGAGGTCTCTTCTTGGCTCATCATCTTCATCATGTGCCGACGAGTCGGACGGCGACCCTTTCCGAGGCTTGCCAAGGAAGACAGCACTCTCGCCTCTTGCATGCTTCGGGGGATGGAGTATTAGGAGCCATCGTACATACTGGTCTTAGCCCTATAGAGCTGGAAGGGACCCTGTGGATGATGGAGTCCAGGCCCCCCTCTCAAGAGGGGCACCCTGGGAGAATCCAGCTCCCAGCCTCTGGTCTCTGCAACCAGAGACCTCAAACCCCTGGGTGAACCCCATCAGCTCACAAGGGGTTTCTGGTGCCCTTTTATCTGTCCCGAGGCCACACACCAAAAGCTGTCAGAGGCAGAGAAGAATTGGGTCGGTGTAACTGGAGGAAGACAGCAACGTCTACCAGGCCCTTAAAAAAAATCTACCTATTTCAAGGTGTTGCACCTCTAGCCAGACAAGAGCTGTGTAAATGTTAGGAGGTGGATAGACTCTTGTACAGATGGAACTAGAGAGGAAGACGGTAAAACCAACATAGCCTGAAATGAAATCATATGTCTTGGATTCATTCCCAAAGGTTGTAATATCAGTTTTGGAGCTCGGTTGAAATGAAACAGCCTAGGTTGGACATCTGGACATTAGTTCTGGAATTTAGATAGATAGATAGATAGATAGATAGATAGATAGATAGATAGATAGATAGATAGATAGATATGCATTTTGTCTTTCTCCTCAAGTCCAGTGCCCATCCTAATGGAGGCCTGTTGGATCTGAAAGCTACTTTGTAAAGCAAATTGTCCGTGTCCCAGCTGGCGGGTTTCTCCATCTTTTTGATTGCAGAAGAGCCATCAGCCAAATGATAGTTTGGCCTTTGGGCTCAGTAGCACAGCAGCCAAATCCGTTGCCCAGGCTGAAAGCCACTCAGATTTTGCAAGAAATGCCGTTGCCAGCTCACCCTTGCGGCGGCTGTCATTCCTGTAGGATAGTGATTCCCAGAAGCCTTCACTGCCTTGCTGTGCTGGCCAGGATTTTTGGGAGTTGTAGTCTAAGTACATCTGGGGATCCAAGATTGGGAACCGCTTCTGTAGGACAAAGTATTGTGGGTCTTGTGATGCAAGCTTGCTCAGTGCTTTCTTGCAACCCCAAGCAGTGTTGACTTCCTACTAACTTCTTCTGTGCGTCCGTTCTTAGTGAGTGTCTCAAATGTGAGAATTGTTGCTTATTTGCATATGCACCCTGGTAGTGGGCTTGTTCAGTAGGCTCCACTGCATTTGTTTCGGGCCCTTCACCTGGGAAGCGCGTCTAGGGCTGCAGCCTTTGAAAGCCTTCCTGCACACACATGCTTACTCTCTATGGTATGTGTTCATCATAGAATTGAATCCAAGGGTGGTCATAACAGCATAAGAACAGTCATAGTAGTTCTCCACATGTCTTTGAAAATTGCATAAATGAATGCTGTGTATCACTGCCCTTGCACATATAACCTAACAGCTATTATGACAGTAATATAGATTAGTATGAAAGCCTTCCTGCACACACATGCTTACTCTCTATGGTATGTGTTCATCATAGAATTGAATCCAAGGGTGGTCATAACAGCATAAGAACAGTCATAGTAGTTCTCCACATGTCTTTGAAAATTGCATAAATGAATGCTGTGTATCACTGCCCTTGCACATATAACCTAACAGCTATTATGACAGTAATATAGATTAGTAGCCTTTTACACAGAGAAACGAACCTGTTCAGTAGGCTTCACTGCATTTGTTTCGGGCCTTTCACCTGGTTATATGCCTTGCGCATATAACCTAATAGCTATTATGACAGTAATATAGATTAGTAGCCTTTTACAGTCTTAGTGTCCATGATTTTGTCTTCATTCCCTTTTAGAGCCAACCAAACTGGTAGTTGTTGGTCTTTCTGGCACACGTGGGTTGTATATAGTGATCCGCGATTATATCTTTTGCACGCTTTTAAACATTCCCTAAGCTGGTTCTGAACAAGTTTCACTGGATGTGGAAAGGAGAACTTTAAACAGCCCAAACCATTCTGTTTTAAGGAGATCAAAAGCGACACTGAGTCTTAACGTCTTTTTGGCAAAAATGTTGTTGTCAGAGGAGATAATGTCATTAGAGGAATCAAACAATTCCTGACAACAAATGGATCTGGTGACGTAACATCCCTCTTAAAAATTAAAACAAACCTCCCAAATCGAACACCTTTTAAAAGTTATGTCAAGTTAGAATTGGGAACAGATCTTCCTGCTCCCAAGGAAGCTTGTGTTTGCTTCCTGATAGAATTGGGAACAGATCTTCCTGCTACCAAGGAAGCTTGTGTTTGCTTCCTGATAATTTAAAGAGTGTCCTGGATTTTCGACTGTACAAAGGGAGGGAGGCAGAGTTACTTGTCCTTGCCGTACTGTATTCCCAATCCTTATGGCCTGATTTGTGACAGGGACTTAGCGGAAGACAGAGAGAAAGAGAGATGAGGTGGCACACTTCCTTGTTCTTGTTTGAGAAGGCTTGTGTAAACCTGGGTGAGGGGAGTTGAAGGGGAAAATGCTAACGGCACATGTTTGTATTTGGTTGGTCAGCGCCAACCCATCCGAACGATTTCAACAGTAGCTTTGGAGTGTCAGCTGCTCTCTTCCCTGCTGAATTTAGGGTAGCTGTGGGATCATACTTCATTGGAGAGGGAGAGGAGGAAAAAAAAGGGGGAGAGAATGGATTTTGTGGGGCATTTAAGATTTTAAAGTGCACTTTGGTGGATTGTAATCCATTTGTTTATATGTATGTACCTGGAATAATACTGACATAGATACCGTCTACATGGTTGTGAGGGCTGGAATTGTATATTAATGTCGGTGGTTAGCTTTCAAAGGACTGTATGCAAAAGTTGCAAGGGGGAGAGAATGGATTTTGTGGGGCATTTAAGATTTTAAAGTGCACTTTGGTGGATTGTAATCCATTTGTTTATATGTATGTACCTGGAATAATATTGACAGAGGTACCGTCTACGTGGTTGTGAGGGCTGGGGCACAGTGAAATGGAATACAAAAAGCAGGAATTGTATATTAATGTCGGTGGTGAGCTTTCAAAGGACTGTATGCAAAAGTTGCATGGGAGAAGCCCTTCCCCACTTTGGTATTAGCACCAATTGCTAAGTCTAATTGGTGAGCTCATGGGCCAAGTGAAGTGTGTGGGGATCACAGCTTGTCATGCAACACCTTTTGAAGTGCTGGCTGTCATCCTGAAATCATTCATTGCTTGTGACATGTGATCACCAGTGCTAGACAACCCTGCGCAAATCAAGTGTAAGGAAGAGCTTCAGAAAGTACACGAGGGAGTGTCAAGCGACCATTCTGAGTGCTTCAGCTGTGTCCGGGTTTCCTAGATCGAGAATGTTTTTTCGAGCAGGTTGTTGACAGAATGAAGGATTCTCTAGGGTGGTGCCTCCCGGCCTTGGGTCCCCAGATATTCTTGGCCTACAACTCCCAGAAGTCCTGGCCAGCCCAGCAAGCCATGAAGGCTTCTGGGAGTTTTAAGAACCAGAACATCCAGGGACCGAAGGTTGGGAAAACTGCCTTTTCTAGAATGCCAGCATTAATGCTGATATTGACAAAAGGGAAGGAACCTAGGGAGGGCACTGCCCTGCTCAATAGTTCTTGGAATTTTATACGATTGATGTGACACATTGCAGTTGAGTGCAAAGTTCAGTGTTGCCGTATGGCACTTAGCAACCCGTTCCCAATGACACATGGCCATAAGTAACTTGAACCTGTGGGTAGGTCTCTGACTCCAAGGAAAGATTTCACACATGCTTTTGAATGCAGTGACCTTCAATCCAGATGGGTGTGTTTGTGTGGATCTATACACAATTGTGCCCCCGCTTACCCCTCCCCTGGCCAAGAGTGTAGAAAGCAGTGTGTGTTGGATTGCAAGTCGCTGGATGTTCTGGAAGGGCAGTTTAAAATTAGAAATGTTCCGTATCAAGGCTGTGGGTGCAAAAGAGCAGCTTCACGAGCGTCATGTTGACAACATTGTGTTGGTTCCTCAAACAGTTCATTAGGAGAAGTATTAAGTAAAATGGAGGTTTGCCAAACTAGGAATCAGCAAAGGATGTTTTTCATATGCAATAATGGCCATCTGAGTACTTCAGAGATAGCTTTAAATGTGGTCTTATAATAATGTAAATCAAGTGTTTTCAGCTCTAGATCTTGACTTTCAACGATGTAAGACGCTTTGGATATTTTTTAAGGAGAAAGGCCAGGTAAAATTATTTTAAACTAAAATAAATAGATCATAAATGCCAGCCCCTGTCCAAGAGACCCACCTGAACCACTGAGCTATCCAGCAATCATATGAAAGTTTTTACTCAGTATTTTTCACTCATTCGTTCCTTTCCATGTGAGATCGGAAAGGGTTATCTCTTTTTGCTATTTCTCTTATTGCTGTCTCTTGCAATTAAATGGGTGCAGATTTTAGTTCAGTGAGTTCTCAATTTTAGATTTAAAGTTGGAAAGGTAGAGAAGAGGAGCGCTAAGAGAAGCAAATTAAGAAGCAGGATTCCGACTTAATCTCTTGCTCATCGGTTTGGAGCAGAAACCTGTCCGAAATTTAGCAAATGAAGGGGGAGCTGGTCAAGGTGGTCACGGAAGTTGAAGGTACTGAGAATTTGCAAAGCCTTTGCGAGAAAGGGTGTGGAAGTTGTAACCTTTATGTAACATCTCTCGCTGGTATTGCTGACATTCTGCTTCTGGGCAAAGGTTCAGAGGACAACACCCGGTTAGGAAACATGATCTCCTGGTTACTTGGTCAAGGAAGCTGTTTGTTTTATCTTGCCATCAAACCTTAGTAAGTGGCATCTTTTTTTTGCAAGGGATTCCATTTTTGCTCCTATCTCTGTCCTGGATCCTTCTCTGAAAGTGGAAGCAAGCCTACACTTTTGGTTTTAGGTTGAAAAGAGCTGTGGTGTGCAACACAATCGGGAACACAGTGCAAGGATTGTGGTTCCCCTTTTTGCCTCGGGTGTGGGCAACTAGGGGTCTGCCTAGTTCAGTCCAGACGTAACTGGACTGCAGTTCCTGTCAAGCCTGACTAACCAAACCATTGGTGAATGTTGGTGGGAATTGCGGTCTGAAAAGCCAAAGGTTCACCACCACAACCACCACTCCTTTCTATGGGTAGAATGGAATAAACATGATCCATGAAGTCTGCCTACAAGGTTATGCTCTTAAATGGAACTGTGATGATATAAATGCAAGGCCAGATTAAAGGGTGGGTGGAATGGAGATCCTTTAGGATCTTCTCATCAGCCATCTGTATTTACAGATCAAGCTTATTTTTGAGACTGATATTTTCAAGCTAGGATTAGAAATACCCCTCTTTTCCCGAAAATAAGGCCTAACCTGAAAATAAGCCCTAGTATGACTTTTCAGGATGCTTATAATATAAACCCTACCTCCAAAAATAAGCCCCACTTAAGTGAAACTCCGCCCTCCACCGTTGTGCAGCAACCAGAAGATGACAGGACAGTATTTGAATAAATGTAGATTGTTGTACATGAACAAAATAAACACATCCCCTGAAAATAAGCCTTAATGTGTTTTTTGGAGCAAAAATTAGTATAAGACCCTGTCTAATTTTCAGGGAAATACGTTATATATGGTGTCTTGTGGAAATATCCTTTATGTGTAAGTAAGAACTGTTTATTGGTTTTGGGCATGACAACAACAACAACAAAAGAATACTTCTAATATACTTGATCTCTGCTAAATTGATTCCAATTTATTGTGCTATCCATTTATTAAAAGTTTGTACATCCTTTTGGGCATGACAACAACAACAAAAGAATACTTCTAATATACTTGATCTCTGCTAAATTGATTCCAATTTATTGTGCTATCCATTTATTAAAAGTTTGTACATCTTGTTTCTCAGCCCAGGACAGCTCACAGAAAAAAGCTCAAAAGAAACGAAATGAAGTCCCCTCTAAGAACAAACCAAAAACAGCTCTAAAAGCCACGTTTAAAATTGGTTTCCTGCCCCAGTGGGCTGTGGGGCCTAGGAGAGAATACAGTTTTGATTGCCTGCCCCAAGTTCCACTAATAATCTGTATGGCAGATTTGCGGCACCACAGGTGCTATGGAGGCCCATTTCCTCCCCACCCCAAGAACTGGCCGGTGCACTCACCGGTCGCCACACAACACTCGGGTCCTTTGTTGTTGTTGTTGTGGTGCCAGTCCGGGAAGGAACCTGGCCGATGCTTCCCTGACTCCCCACGCAGCTGACCACTATGGCAAGGAGGCTGAAGGGGGAGTCTCCCCACTCAGCTGCTAAGTGGCTGGTTGTGTGGGGAGGTGGGGAAGTGCCTGCCGGGTTTCTTCCCAGATTGGCACAACAACTGGTGAATGGACCGGTCAGTTCTGGGGGGTGGGATGGAATGTTCCCTGTAGTGCCACGATTCATTTGCCTCCCCAGATATACAAATAGCCCATGTCTAGTCCAAACTGCCAATTGAACTAATGTAGGGGGAATCTTAATTTTGTGTCCATATCCTCATAATGAAGTACAAGAAGAAGAACCAGGTTTCCGTTATTCTCTAGTTCCCTTGGCGAAGTGCACAAAAGCAGGCTGGTGCTTATTTTAGAAACCAGGTCACAGTATATCTGGGACTGTTCAAAGGTTACCCTTGAGTAGATCTTATAGTTATGCTGCTTTGAGTGAACGGTGGAACTTTACATTGCCAATGTCATGGACACACAGTGAGGGTGTGGTGGAAAGAACGTTATCCTTGGACTCGGTTGGTCTGGTTTCAAGTCCCCACCACGGCCATGAATATTTCGCAACGGTCAACTGCTTCTTGAACATCTCACACGGATTGAAAACCGTATTAGGGTTGCCCTGAGGCAGAAGCTACAGGCTGGCACATGGCAAATGGGGTAAAAGTATTCACCACTGTTAAGCTGACAGTAAGAACCCCCTTATCTGCGGAATCATTATCCACTGATTCGCTTATCCACAGGAGTTTGAATCCCCACTGTGCCTCCGAGCAGAGGGGCCAGGCAAGTTCTCTGGGAATCTTTGTGGCTGACGGGAATATCTGACTTGCTAGCTATCTAGCCGTGGCCACGGTCNGTCCGGGGGGGGGGGGACACCAGCAGGAGAGACTGATCTACCACTTCTAACTATTTGATACCTAGAAAGACCATGGGAGGATTGCCGTAATTATTGTGATTGTGTATAATAATGAATATTGGTGGCACATCATTATTACTTAGGGAGTTCACTCTAATTAAGACTAGTCTAGATATAAGCTGCATCATTGTTGCTCCTGTTGTTGGTAAAGGGAGATGGATTATTATCTTCCAGTCTCAAAGGTCAGGAATTGAAGGGCTGGTTGTGCAGCCAAGGGCGTCTTGAGGCTGTGGCTCTGTGTTTGTAGACACAGTGTTATTTGGTCAAATTACCTTCCCAAATGGGCACAATATAGACAAAGGTTTATGTGTTGTGTTTGATATGCAGGACAGTCTTCAGATCTGTAGCTGGCAAGTAGGATTGCGGGGGTGGGGGCAGGAGTTTGAGGACTTTGGCTTCCAGCTGCATTTGTATTGGGCTGTAATGTTCTCTGGAAGTATATCATGTCAGTGAAAGGCAAGGTGCACTTGTGTATTGCTTCTGCACAGTGGTTCCCAACCTTGGGTCACCCACTATTGCTTCCGTACAGTGGTTCCCAACCTTGGGTCACCCAAATGTTCTTGAGCTGCACCTCCCAGAAACTTTAGCTAGCGCAGTTGGTGGTAAAGGTGCTAGTGGGAGTTGTAGTCCAAGAATGTGCGAGGACCCAAGGTTGGGGAACCACTGTTCTAGATTGTTTCTGTGTGAGTTGTCATGGCCCTGTTTGATTTTTTTGGTCATGGTGGCTTTGCAATTAAGAAGGGGTACAAAGTTCAACGTTGTTCTAGCACGTTGGACTTGGGCATCTCATAGAAAGGAAAAGTGCATATAAGCAAGGACCAGGTCCAGTAACTTGTTTGATACTCGCCATGTTAGTGTGCAGACTGGATATGCAATTTCAAGGATTTTTCAATAAGCAGAGTGATATGTTCGTTCGTTTAGTCGTGTCCGACTCTTCGTGACCCCATGGACCAGAGCACGCCAGGCCCGCCTATCTCCCACTGCCTCCCGGAGTTGTGTCAGGTTCATGTTGGTTGCTTCGCAGACACTGTCCAGCCGTCTCATCCTCGGTCGTCCCCTTCTCCTCTTGCCATCACACCTTCCTAACATCAAGGTTTTTTCCAAGGAGGTTCTAGCACGTTGGACCTGGGCATCTCATAGAAAGGTGCATCTAAGCAAGGAACAGGTCCAGTAACTCCTTGACACTTGCCATGTTAGTGTGAAGACTGGATATGCAGTAAGTCTTCAAGGATTTTTTAATAAGCAGGGTGATATGTATGCCCATATTAAATGGTAGTGGATGACAAGGTTCCATGTTGTCTCTCCCATAAGAATAAATGGTGGAGGAACCCCCCTCCTCTTTGGACACCTTTTTGGGGCATAGGTTCTTGCTTTAAAACAAAGCGTTCCACCTCTCCCACCTTTAAAAAATAATCCTCTAAATTTAGTTGCAGAAGATATGTATGGCCATATTAAATGGTAGTGGATGACCAGGTTCCATGTTGTCTCCCCCATAAGAATAAATAGTGGAGGACCCCCCTCCGCTTTGGACACCTTTTTAGGGCATAGGTTCTTGCTTTGAAAAATAATCCTCTAAATTTAGTTGCAGAATAGGAAGTTCTGAGAATTCATTGCAGAGACCTGATTGCCCTGTCCATGTCATAACCTGTTTTATTCTGAGACACCAATATGGTGGCCTTTTCTGCCGCTGCAGAAGACTTATCTTTAAGCGACAGTGTGAAGAAAGAAACAGGGGTCCTCTCTCAGTCTGCTCATCTATTTTTTTCTTCCTCCTAGGTCTTTGCTCAGTTTGACACTGAGGGTGATGGCATTATTGACGTGGAGAACATGCTGGAGATGCTGAAGAACTCCAGCGGAGCCAGTATACAAAGAGAACTTAGTCATGTGATCCGGCAGCTTCAGGCTTGTTCCCTGGTTCCAGGTAAGACCTGGAGGGGGGGGGAAGGAAATCCCTTCTGCTAAAAAAGGATTCTTCTGATGGATTAGGGGTTTCAGTGGGTCAAAACCGAGTATGGTGTATCAGTCGTCCAGTAGCAGATACTTAGGGAGAGATCCTGTGCTTTTTCACTCAAATGGTAGAAAGATTCAGCTTCCAAAAGGTCTCTTCCCAGTCTGCTGATTAGAGATAATCAGCATACTGGGAAGAGCCCTCTCAGATTCTTTGATGGGCAAGACGGTGCTGGATTAGACTGGACAGCTGGACCTTAGAGGACAGAAGGAGACTCCTCCACCCAGCCGAACCAAGAGGAGAGGAAGTCAGGAGAAGATTGCTCTTTGCCAACATTTCATGGAAACTCATTGTCTTTCTCTTCAGGTTTTGTAGACATATTTTCAGAATCGAACGAGCGCCTTAGTCTCCATGCTTCCATGATTTTGAGATTCCTGCATCGGCATCGTATCGCCAGCACGGTCATCCCCTATCCTGTTTTGGAGAACTTCAACAATATTTGCACTTTGCGGTCTTCGGTCCTGAAGGATTCTTTAGACCGGCTTCTCCTAAAAGAAAATGGTATGGGGGGTCATTTATCTTTTCCTTAGTTTGCGTTATTTATATACTGTATTGTGTTCCTTACATTGAGCCTCCAAGTTCGGTTTCAGTGAAATGCTTTGATTTGGATTCCTTCCTTGAGCAGGGGGTTGGAACCCATGGCCTTAGAGGCCCCTTCCATCTCTTTGATTCTATGAAATATTTAGCAGTAAAATCCATATGTTACGGATTGCACAATCACCACATAAAAAAGAACACCAAGATTTTTGCCTTATTTAGGGGATGAAATGTTATTTGCTTGGGTTGTTGTAACATTTTCATGCTTCCTTTGTGAAGTCCGCTAACACAATGTATATTGTGCTCTCTGCAACACACTGTAGTCATTTGAACATAGACACAAGTGTCTGCTGAGGAGTCCTGACTAACACACCATCTCAGCACAGTCCAGGGTTATGGTATAAATGGGGAATGGGCCACTTTGGTGGCCCTGATGGGCAGATTTTATTTGTTATTATCTATTTATTATATTTTACGACACTGTTACAAGGTGGCATACATCATTAAAAGACCATATTTAAAGCTAAAAACAGTGAGTATGCAATGATGGCTTACATCGTGAAAAGACAATATTTAAAGTTAGGAACAATGAGTATAAAAAGTAATACAAGCTAAAAACAGTAAGTGTACAAATATTAAAAAGGAGCAAACAGTTACCACTCTGAGCAGTGGTAAACATAAGTAGTACTAAAAACAAAGTCAAAAGCCGTGAGGCAGAACCATCCATTCAGAAACCCCACTCGGGCAGCCAGTCACTCCGGGAAAGCTTGCCTGAAGAGAAAGGTCTTTGGCTGCTTACGGAAGGACAGCCAAGATGGGGCCTGCCTGGCCTCCAGTGGAAGGGAGTTCCAGAGTCTCTGAGAGCCGACACTGAGAACGCCCCTCTCACCTACAGTCACCATCACAAGCCACACCAGGCCCAGAAAGGGCTGAAGAAAGGCCCCTCTCACCTACAGTCACCATCACAGGCCACACCAGGCCCAGAAAGGGCTGAAGAAATATAGTTTATAAATCAGATTGGGAAGTACATGGATGGGGATGGGCGGTCTGTGCAAGGCTTGGTGGACTCCTCCTGGCTTACTTAAAGTAAAACAGACTCATTCCCAGAGTCCTCCATGGACAGTTAAAAAAAATGCTTTCTTTCCTCCCTTCGTTTTTCATTCATACGCAGATACTTTTTGGGAACTAAGAGGCTGCTCAAATGCCCTTGAGGGTGATCGCATGGGCTCTGCCGGCGACGCATTGCCCGTTCCCGTGGGTGTGGATCATTTTCGGTATTTGTAGCCCCCTCCTGTCTCCCTAGATCATAGGGTGGGTTGCGGAGCCATATAGGACAGTTTAGACCTAAGATCTTTTTCAATCAGCTGAAAATTAAAGCAGTTGGGACCGCGTAATGTTAAAAGATTAAAGCCGTTGCAGTCAAACCTGTGTCGGCCAAGATCCTCAATCCCCCAGAGGCGCTAATGAATAAGCAGGTTTTGTCTTGGCACCCAGGGGGGGCCGGTGTTGGCAGAGTCGTACCCTCTAAGTTGCCAGTCTGAAGACAGGAGGCCCATTCAATTAATTGCTCAGTGAGTGAGTCACAGGGATGGGAACTTGAGTCTTGGGACTCCCTGTTGAGTTGGTCTTAAGTTGCACCAGTGACTCTACTCGGTGGTTCCCCCCCCAACCTGGACTCTAATCATTTCCCTTTTTCCTGGGGGTGGGGGGGAGAAGCTTCTTTTTATTAGGGATTCAGTGCTTGATCCTTGGACCCAAAGGCTTGCCGACATCCCCGGTGGGTCAAAATGTAAGTAAATAGCATTGATTTAGTAATTCTGCTCTCTGCTCAGACTAGGAGTTGGTTGCAGGTCTATGGTTTATAGGCCTTTTCTATTGCTGCTACATTATTAGCTGCAAGGGAATTGAAAAATATCTCTCTTTTTGTATACAAACCAGAAGGATTATATACTGCCCAAAGCATGAAAAACAGGTGCACAGAACTACACAGAGAGGAAGGCCGAGGTCTGTAGGTTGACCGTACGGTTTCTAATCATCCTTTCTTTGCCCCTTCCCTGGCTGTCCTTTCGCAGAGTGTCCGAGTGACTTAAGTGGCACCCAGGAGCTAGAGAAACTCAAGTTCGTTTCCAAGTGCTACGCTCACATAGAGACGTCCTCCAATTCCGCCGATATTTACAAAATGGTAGACGGAGAGACGTTTTCGTTCTGGCAGTCGGACGGGAGCGCTCGATCCCACTGGATACGGTAAGACGAGTTGCCCGGTCTGTTCTATGATGAATAAAGCCCTATTTCGGTAAAACGGCTCTTCTCTCTGTACCTGGGTGAATAAAAACTGGTGATTTTAAAAGATCAAATGGATTTAAATCACAAAAAAAGTGAACAATTGATTTCTTAAAGTTTTCAATCATCCAAAATGATCCAGGTTTTAAATTTTAAATCAGGATTTGAATCAAATCCACTCTGCAGTCTATTCCAAACCATTTTTCTACAAGAACAACTAGCGTATCTGTTATAATCACCTCTAAAGCGTGTTATATTTGCTAGTTAACTTAGTTGTTTTTCCCCCCTAGTTATGATGATCCGTTGAAGGATGGTTTAAACACAACTCGTTTAAAACTAGTCGGTTGGGTACTGGGAGCTAAAAAAAAATTTTTAAAGGAGAAAACAGTAATTTTGTGATGGTCCATTTTAAATTTGGTGACTCCTTATACTGTAAACAAAATGTTGGTACTTTTTTTTAAAGTGAAATGGCCATGTTTTTCTTAAATTTAAACAAAGTTTAAAAGGTGTATTGTGGTTTGCACTTTTAAGAGTAGCACCGATAAAGGGAAACGAGTTTCTTGTCATGCCTTGGGGCATAAGAAAGCCACTTCTGAGAACTGCCTTCACTGGCTTTCTTCCGTTGCTTTCGTCTGTTATCTGTCGCAGGCCTTCTTAGGGAAGATAGTCCAAAGGATCCCCCTTCTCCCCCCCCCAGTGCTGCCATGCCCTGATCTCTTTCATGTCTCCCTTCTCTGCCTTGCAGTTTAAAGATGAAACCCGAGGTCGTCTTGAGGCACCTCTCCATCGCCGTGGCCGCCAGCGACCAGAGCTACATGCCTCAGCAAGTTACTGTTGCGGTGGGAAGGACCGTCGGCAATCTCCAGGAGGTCCGCGATGTTCACATTCCCAGCAATGTTACTGGATATGTGACATTGTTGGAAAACGCTAACATTAGTCAGATGTGTGAGTCAATAACAATACGATTGGTGTTTCTTCTTTTTCTAGAGAGAAAATGGCTTTGGAAGAGGAGGGGAGGAAAATTTTTGGAAAAGCAGGATGCCGAGTTTTGGCTGACTCAGTGAATTGAAATTAATGGGCTTAGTTTGCTGTTCAGGCTCCCCCCCCCTTATTTGTGTTACCAATGGCCCCTTTCTTCCCAAGTCCCGTGACATCGTTGTCATCATCAATTAATTAATGACAGCAGGGGCCCCTTTATCTGAGGGAGTAGGATCCACTGATTCCTTTATCTGCAGTCT